GGAGGAAATAAAATTTTAGGACAATGTGTAAAGAACAACACACGTCTTCTTCAGCCATGCCCTTACGGCAAATCGGGTTGTTATAATCTTTTGCCTTCATGTGATAGTGTTAATGGGTTAGAGACTTGTCTCCTCAGATACAAGAGGTTATCAGAGCGCGAAACCGCATGCAGCAATTTGCGGGTTCAAAATTCGTAGTTAAATAAATATGTAATCATTACCATACAGCAGATGGAGAGGCCGAAAACCCAACGGTCGCCGATAAAGATCAGGAAACGCTTTAAGTTTGCAAAATTAGGAAGAGAAGGTGAGAGAAGGGAAATTAATCGAAAAAGAAGAGGCTTGACTAAACTGCAGTTTGTTTTGGAAACCCAAATGGTCCGACTACTCATGAGTAGTGCATCTACAAGCACAAAACAAGTGTCAGCATTACAGAATGACACGTCAGTTTATTGGCATGAGGAAAATGCGTGAGTCCGTGTTGGTATGATGCAACCAATCGAATTATGATGTATATTGACAAGGAATGGTAGATTGGCGTCACCGGACACCGCAGGAGGGTTGTCTTGGACTTTTGTCTGTCGAATTGTGCCGTCCTACGAGCCCGAAGACTGCGTGCTCGGCTGTCGTCCATCACGTGACGCACATCGTCAGCGCCGGGCAGGATTATTCTCGAAGAATCAGCAGAAAAGCTAAACCGAGCCAAGTGGCCAGCCGAGATCCTATTCACTTCTTGTGCCTGCCTCACTTTGCGATCTGAATGACGCATCGCATGATCTGGTTGGCTGCTGTCTCTCTCTCTCTCCCACATGCACGTGGGCCAGTCAAAGTGACGCGGGAAGGGAGTCGCTGTTGTCACCACTTTTGTGTGTGCAGATAGACCAACGTGTCATCATGTCATTGTGCGTGTTGTTGTTTGTGTGCACGCAACAAACACGACTTAGTTGGCAATTTCAGGTGCACCAACAGGCTCCATCTTAGTCCACTCTTCTCCTCTTACTCACTGCCTATTCCTGTTCCCTACTACTACCAGTAAATCAGTAGTATGAGATGTATTCACCCAATTTCGTGTGAGGTGATGAAGGACTGGTAGAAGAAGAATTTTCCCGCAATGATATGAGTTGAGCTGACGTTTCCATTCAATTTCACATAGCCTTGCTTTCCCAAAAGTTGT